CAATCCAATGTTAGATCCAGGTCCAAAAATATAATGAAGATCCCTTATGCAGGGATCTTGGACAGAATGCCAGCACTGCCATTCAGTGTTGGAAATTGTATCACATGAAGTGCTACAAGTTGTGAGATATACATAAGCTAAAATACAAGTAAAATGTATTGTATGTACCAATAGCCATATTAAAAATATATTTATTATGACACCTCACTAGCTGAACTGAAGGCATTCACAGGTCTGTTGTACTTAATGGACTGATTTCTCATGGCAATCACAGAAATGTAAAAGATTTATGGAAAAGTGATGACTCAAAATATGGCATAAAAATGTATGCCCTTGGACATGTGAAGATTTATTATAATTTCAATTTAGAAATTTACTTGAAACTCAGCCACAAAGTCCTTATTCATATAGTAATAAACAAATGATGTTGTGAACAGACTTGTTACTCTCAACTCCCAAACGAATTAGAATATGACATTCAATAATTGGTCTACCAGTTTCCAGTCGATGTTACATTTGCTAACAGAGCCCAAATTGACTACTGTCAGAACTGTACCCAGGAACAAAGCAGAAGTTCCACACGAAATGTTACAATTTCAAAACAAATAATTCTATAGCACAATCTTTGGATTTCAAAAAGATTTACACTGGCTTCATACATGGCAAAGAAAAATAAACTGGCAATGCTGATCAACACTACCTCATGATGGAAACATTGATAGGGAAACCTTGATAAAATGGAGGCCTGAGGCGGAGACTTTCTACAACAAACCAAAGGCAGAGCAGATGCTGTTAATGAGTTATGGAGCAACTATGATGTCACTCAAAACACAAAGCACTGGCCAATGGTTGTGTTTTACTCAATCCTAAACATGTGTGGTATAAATAATTTTATAGTTTACAAAGAAAACTAAAAGTACAAAATACACAGAGAAATTTTCTTAGAAGTTTGGGACTGGAACTCTCAAGAGATCATTTACAGCAGAGGAAAAGCAAAATGTTTCCGCCCAGGGAACTACACAAAAAATAATGCAGCAGCTTGGATAATAGCTGACAGGTGAAATCAGCATGTGCATCACCAAAAACACCTACTACAACAATAGGAAAGCCAAAAAGATATCAACTGTGCCCTACAAGAAAGGACAGGAAAATAAGACATATGTGCTATCAGTGTAAGTAATAGTTGTGTACGGAGCATGCAGTTTTCACGTGTGAAGACTGCCTTGGGTGTGACAATTGAAGTAAAGATTATCTTTGTTGTAGAGTTCTACTTGTATTTTCATTGTAGTTCATACAGGAATTTATTTCTGATGTTATCTTTTAGGTTTCGTAAACAGGTACACAGATAATGTGAAAAAGTTGATGTCTATTTTAAGCACTCATTATGTATTTCATACTTCATTTTATTGATCTTATTGCCCTGCTAAGTGGACATTGTACAATGTAGTAGGAAGCTCCTGACAAAGTAGGAAAAGAAGATAGGTAACAAGAATGGCCTGCCACATAGGAAAGGAAAACTAGGCACATGTGCTGTCAGTGTAAGCGAGATGTGTGCATGGAACATGCAGTTGTCATGTATGAAGGCTGCTTTGGATGTGGCAATTGAAGCAAAACTCATCTTTGTTGTACAGCTCTATTGACACTTTCCTTGTAGTTCATACAGGAATTTATTTCTAATGTTATTAAACACTCAAGTTTCTGTGCCTTTATGACAAAACTTATATTATTCCCCTCAGGTTTAACGAGTATCTTCTACTATGTATATACTTTTGTCCCATCTCTGCAAAAGGCAAGACTGATTCTGGTTTGCCATATTAATGAAATGTATTGTTATTAGTTATTGTGAAATGATTTTTACTTTATATATTCTTCTTTAGGATGATGTTCATGGAAAAAAAATATGTTCTCAATACCAGGGATAGATGTGCTTCAATACATAAATACTGCTTTCTACCCTTTGGATACTGAGCCACATAGCTGAAAAATGTTCCCCTTTTATAATAGGTGGGGAAAAAAGGCTTAAAATTTTTGTTGGATAAATAAGTGTGTTCAAACAAAAATATTATTTATTTATAAAGAGAAATTAAGTACCGATGCATGCTAAAACATGAATGAATTTTAAAAACAGCATGCTAAGTAAAAGAAGCCAGAAAAGGCCATACATTATATATGAGTCTATTTATATTAAATGCCCAGAATAATCAAATTCATAGAGATGACAAGTAAGTTACTGGTTGCCAGGTGTGGGAAAAACAGAAATACAGAGTGACTGCAAATGGGTACAGGATTACTTTTCTGAGCATTGATGATGTTCTGAAATTAGAGGGGTGATGGTCATTCAACTTTGTAAATATACTGAAAACCAGTGAATTGTACATTTTCAAATAGAAGTGTATAAAGTATATCACAGTGTTAAAAAATTATGGCATCTTTGCTTCTACTCATTAGGAAGTAAAATATAAGAAACTTAACCTTCTACGAAAAAAGACCCTAGAAAATTAGATTAATGATTATTTTCAAATATTAGGCCCTAAGTAATCCAAACTATTATCCCTATACAGAAAAAAAAAAAGTTGAACCATAATTGCCATAGCCTTCTACCTAGCAATGATTTCTAAAAAGCAGTAAAGGGAAGGGAACTTCAAACAGAACCTGGTAATATAGGTGAGTTAAAAAGAGACTAAAGTTCCTTCAGGAAGGTCAAGGTGACCAGAGCTAGGAGAGAACACCAGATAGCAGGAAGTTATACAGAGAAATCTGCAGAGCAATCGTTTCCAGTGACTTGCTGAGTATCAGACTGTGCATGCATCAGCCAAAATGCCGTGAAGTAGGGCAAAGAACACATATTGTGCACGGAATAATTATTGGGAGGGTATAAGCCAAATAATTCCCAGATCCTACACAGGGTTAGAAATCACTTGATTTATCACCAAAATTCATTACATCCTAGAAAATTACAACAATCAAAACTGCATTATTGGTTCAAAAATAGACGTATCTTTACTACTGAGGAAAAAGCCTAGGAATAGGTCACACATTTGATTTCAAGGAAACTGATTAGGGAAAGGATACTTTTCTACAAATAGTGCTAAGACAACTACATGTCCCCTTGGAAAAAAAGTAAACATTGACCCATACCACACACTGTTTTTTTTAAAAAAGTAACTACATTGATCATAGACATAAATATAAAACCCAAACCTGTAAAACTTCTAGAAGAAAACAGGAAAAAAACAAGGCAGCTTTTGCGCTCTGATAGACACAGTCAATGGAGAAAATATTTGTTATATTTTTGCCATATAACTTTAACCAAAAAAACAAACAACTTTTACAACTAAATAATAATAGAATTGTTCAAATAGCAAAAATTGAGCAAGAAATTTCTTGATATAGAATACAACTGGATAATAAACACATAAAGAGATAGTCAGCATTGTTAGTCATGAGGGAAATGGAAATTGAAATTATAATACCCTTACATGTTTACTAGAATGGTTCCAAGTTAAAACACTAACAATATCAAGTGTTGACAAGGAAATGAAACTTCTCAAACATTCATGGTGGGAATGTAAAGTGTAAAATATGCTTTGGATAATTTGTTATTTTCTCATAAATTTAAAGAAAACTGCCACATAATCCAGCAATTCCACTCCTATGTATTTATACACAAGAAATAAAAACAAAGGCCCACAGAAAGCCAACTCATGAATAGATACACATACTGTAGGGTATAGTATTCCATTGTAAGGAAGATTACTCTGCAATAAAATACAGCAAATCAGTGATATATACAAAATGGATGAATTCCAAAAAGCTCAATACTAAAAAAAAAAGCAGTTACATTCAAAAAGAAAGTTACATTCTCATGATTATTTTTATTTTCATGGTTTTTTTATGTTTTTTTTTTTTTTTTGGTACCGGGGATCAAACTCAGGACCTCGCACTTGCAAGGCAGGCAGAGGAACCACTGAGCTAAACTCCCAGCCCTCATTATTTTTACAATACACTAATGAAGGAAAGAAGATCAGTGATTGCCTCATTCTGGGGCTGGATACTGTCTGAAATGGGGCAGGAGGGAATGATTTAGCAGGCTAGAAATACCCTAACTCTTGATTATAGTAGTGCTTACGCAGCTTATCTACTGGCCAACATTCAAACTGCAGACTTAAAATGGGTGTAGTTTATTGTATGGAAATTATGGCTTCATGCAAAATTCGTGTATACAATTTTTATGACAAGAAATTGGAAGAGAACACCACACTTTCATGTTGTTTTCAAAATAACTCAATGTATATCAGTGTTAAATACTGCTGCGTCCATTTCAAGTAAATTAGATTAACCTGAACAAGCTTGCTAAAATAAGAAACGTTCAAAAATAACCAATGACTGCTTCCTTTATTTTTATTACATGCTATTTATCCATCCATCCATCCATTAAAAATAAAGAATCAAACAAAGTTTACTATTGCCAAGCATTTGGAAATCAAGCATAGTCTTACATTTCACTCCTTTCTGAGAGCAAAATAATTCTTTCTCTCCACAACTATAATTTTAAAGATACAGCATTACTATCACCTGACAATATAATGTTAATTCTCAAATGAGTGTTTCACATGGAGATCTGACAACTGACATTCTTTTTCTCGCAAAAGAATTAATTTTTAAAATCAATAAGCAAATGCACAGTTTGCATAGATTTTACACTGTTCTAAAATTAGGACCTATTGTGTGACCAAAAAGTTATTTCCATGGGTATACACGCAGATTGGGTATACAATGGACCCTTAACTTATGACCTTCATCAGTTCCCCAGGGCTGGCTGTAACTTAAGTTGGTTGTAAGTCAGTACAGCTGAGATCTGGATGTTTATCTGGGAACACACTATAGATAATAAGAGGCAGATGAATCTTCCACTTAATCGTCAGTTAAGCCACCATAAACCAGTATTTGGCAAAGTTTATCACTCATATGTTACCTGTACATTAAAAATAATTACTCACTTCAATTGTCTTGGCCAGTAACTGTGTGTGAGGAAAATTATACTTGTATACTTCATTAGCGACAGTGTTTACATCAATGGCAGCCACCACTTGTGCAGGTATAGAGCTTTCTGCAATGATAAACGTAACATCTTAAAAAGAAAAGTCCATAGTATCAGTCTGTTCATCATAGAGAAAACCCAAAATAGTGGGATTCAGTAGTATATTTCCATATGTCCTCAATTATCTAGCAGACCTCAGACTGTTAGTGGAGGGTCAGGCAGGGAGAACCAGGCATAAAGTAGAATATCTGCATAAGTATTTTTGGTTCATCTAACAGCATTCCAATGTTAAAAATAAGATTAAATTTTAATTGTTACTTCTTACATTTTCTTTCTTCTCACATGAAAAGCCACACTTAAAAAAGTTTTCTTAAACCAAAACATATAAAAAATACAGGAAGTGTAGTATACCCTAATCACCATCAAATTTGGAACTTTATAAATAAATTACCATGTACTCCTCTGCTCGGACCGAGGCAAAGCCGCTGCACCACTGAAAACGCTTTTAGTTATGCTGCTTTAAATAAGAGCTTTATCGAGATCCAATTCACGTGCCACAAAATTCACTTGCTTAAAATTTAGATACATTTTTAAAGGAAGTAAACAATTAATTGGTTTTTAAATGTAAAAATTTCACAGAACAAAAATTTAAAATTTTGACAGACCAGGAGAAAAATGAGAATAAGGGAAGTAATTATAAAGTGATACTTTACTGCTCATCCACCTTACTGATGAAGCATTTTCAAAATAGTTTCTGACTCATTTAACTTAACATATTCTTTAATGACAGTCAAAATTTGAACTCCGTAATTGTAGCTGCTGCTACTTTTTGCAGTTCCTACCCTCCTTCTCAAAACATGTACAAAACTATGTATGTATGGACCCTGTCACAATTCAGGAGAAAGAATTTTTAAAATAAAATTAGTTGAGACTTAACAGAGCCATCAGAGAAAATGTAACATTGCACAGTAGATCCACACAGCCTTCTCTTTAACAACCATTTGCTGCGTAATGGTTACTTATCATAGTGCAAACATTAAAGGGGCAGCACAGTAATAAGGAGTTATGGCTTAGGAAGAAGAAACCTGGAAATAAAATCCGATCACAGGAGACAAAGGGAGAGGAAAGGTTCACTAATACACGCTCAGAAACAATCACAACCTAACTCAGAGGCCTAGAACAGATGAGGCCAGAGAGAAAACCCTAAGAGACCTGCTGAAAAGTAACATCCCTGTGTCTTAGACACAAGTGACTTAAAACTCTGAGGCCCAGTTGGTAATAACAGAGGTAGCTGCCTCCAATTAAATTTAAATTTGGTAACTAGTTACTTGCCTTAGTATAAAAGTTAAGGATATAAATCATACCTTTGTCAAAGGGATCAGAGAGATCTTGAAATACAAATCAAGAAAGCTTCTAAACAAACAATGATTAGTTTGTAAAATCACAAAATTGTCATAATTACAAACTACGCTACAACTAATCCCTGCCAAGAGCTCAGAATTAAACTTCACTCTACTATATTATTGCTTTACTAAGTAAAATATACTCAGGATGATGTAGCCTGCTTGTATTTCCACTAAATATGCATCAAACAGGGAACACTTGGAGCTGGTTAACATGACTTTCATCTTTTCCAGGCTAGATGAAAATCCAAAGTGAAGTACTGAATCTATACTATAACTGATAATTAATTTTATTTTCTTGTATTACATGCCTGGAGGGAATAAACCCTGAGGAAAAGGGACTGCCAAGTGAGCGTTTCACGTGGAGATTTGAAAACTGATGAGCTGAACATTCTTTTTCTTGCGAAAGAATGAATTTTTAAAGTCAATAAGCAAATGCAGTTTGCACAGATTTTAGATTGTTCTAAAATTAGGACCTACTGTGTGACCTACAAAGTTATTTCCATGGGTATACATGCAGGTTGAGTATACAGTGGATCCCTGACTTATAAACTCGATCAGTTCCCAAGGGCTGGCTGTAACTCAAGTTGGATGTTTACCTGGGTACACAGTATAGATAATAAGAGGCAGATGAATCTTCCACTAACCTAATTAACCCAAATTGTTCAAATGTCAGGCCGGTCAAATGTTGCAGGTCCACTGTACCTTACCCAAACTGCTTAGCAACTAGTGTTTTAGATTTCTTAAAATTTGCATACAACATAGTAAGACAGATTAGGGATGGGATCCAAAACTAAAACAAAATATATTTATGTTTCACGTGCCCCTTATACCCATAGCCTAAGTATAATTTATACCATATTTTTGACACATCTGAATTTGTACTGCAACCCATCACATGAGGTCAGGTGTGGAATTTTCTACTTGGGGTATCCTACCAGTGATCAAAAAGTTTTGGATCTTGAAACATATGAGAGTTTGGATTTTTGGACTAGGGCTGCTCATCTATAGTAAGAAATTATGGATACCGATTCAACTTGCCCTTAAAAACAGAATTATTTTGGAGTATGAATGTATTTCTAAGAAAAAGTTATAAATAACAAAGGGGAAAAGCAAGTCTGTCAATTTGGTCAAATTTAAATCTAGCTCCAAAGGCAAGTTGTCTTGCTATTTTCCAGTATGCAATTCAAATCTATAGTCTCTGGCATACTTTGACATGTCTAAGTGAACATAACCCTATACAATTTTATCTATGTGAACTCTCTCACTGGAGTGAGCCAAGAATAGTAATTCTCAGAGCAGAGAGAGAATGGGGAAAGGGGACCCAACAGGATCCTTTGGTTGTATTGGAGGAGAGGATGTACTTTCATACTTTGATCTATTATTTCACCTGGATTTTATTCATGATATTTCAGTTATTCTGGATTCCATATTTATCGATGGGAAGCATTAAAAAGCAAGGTGTGACATCATAGAGAAACAATATAAATTATTTTAAAAGGTTGTCAGATTGGATCTGCAGGAAAAAGAAAAGGGCATCATCTTTCTATTTATGAGGAATGAATTTTAAAAGGCAAATTTACATTGAAATAAAAATAATTTTCTTTCTTTTTCTTATTACTCTTTGTAGGAAAGGAAGATGTAGGGAATAATTTCTGGTTGATAGCAGAAAAGATGTATAAGTTCATCACAATCTATCTGAGTTTCCTCACCAAATCTTTAGAAAACCCTTAATTGTCCATGCATAGTAATTAAAATGGGTGCAAATCAAAATTTACAAAGTGTAAATGTACTGTAATTCCAGTGCTCTGGGAGGCTGAGGCAGGAGGGTCCGAAGTTCACACCTAGCATGGACAACTTAGCGACTTAGTGAGATCCTGTTTCAAAAATAAAAAGGGTTGGAGATATAGCTCAGTGTGAAGGGCCTGGGTTCAATGCCCAGTACAGAAAAAAAAAAAAATTTTAAAGATAAATATAGAATTAATCAGCTCACTTTGAAATAAAAGAGTAATTTTATAAAATCGATTTCCTCCTCTCTCATGTACATATTTTCAGATCTACATTATACAGGTTGAGTAAGAACGTGCATTACCTCATTACAATCACACCTGAGACATTTAATCAGGTATGTTAACAATGACATCTAGCTGTGAAACAGATCAGGTGAATGCATCCAGTCAATGCCTACTCACTTCCATCCAGAATAATGGCTCAATTAGGAATAAAAGTACTAAGCAAAGACGTGGAAGGGTTCTGGATTAAAATCATTGTCAAATGTTTTTTAGCACCATTAGCAAAGTATATTTCTTTGTTCTTGAAAGGTTTTACATTTCAAAATTGTTAATAAATTATTTTGATGAATAAAATAAAAAACATTTTTTTCAAATATCCAGTTTCCTTAGAAATTCTGGGTCAAGACGTATTTTAGATTACTATTACCAACATCTGGCTAAACACAGGAGATCAACCAGAATGTTGTGGACCGATTACGTCCTTAAAAACACTGAGTGTGTGGATAGCAAAGATCACCCTTCTATTAGAGAATATGAAGAACTTCCTAATTTCTTCTACTACTCAATCTCTCTGAAATAAATTTTACTTCATCCCTATATAATGACTCAAAAATAGGAGTTCTAGTCACACTCTATCTGAAAAAATTATTGGCATACCCAACTAATAATTTCCCCTTCTCATCAATAACCAAAGATCAAACTCATTTACTCTGGCAATGCACCCAGCTTAAGGAAGGCATGCCACTCACTCCCTCTGAAGGTAGATGTGGCCATGGGACGCAGTTCAGTTTGGAAAGATATAAGAAGTGTACTCCACTCTTGGGAGGTCTTCTCACAGGGAGAAAGGAGGAGTTGTTTTCTAGCCTTTCTACGGTAGGTTTAGAAAACTGGAAGAATGGCTGGAATGCTAGTTGCTCCGTTAGACCATGAAGAGGAGGGCAGGCTGTGGGAGTGGTAAAACAACTAGAAAGAGATAAGGTTCTAAATGATCCCACAGCACCTCTGAAACAGCCCTGGATTACCACATCTAGGCATAACTGTACGAGAGACAGAAAGAAAGCTCTACCTTCTTTATGCCACTATTATTATGGATGTTCAAATACTGACAACTGAACTTAATCCTAACAGATATACAGGCAAAATTTTAACAAGAACTCAGTTGTCCAGATGGTTTAGTTGTTCAATGTGTGTGTGCAATGAGTTTCAGATGCATTTCCTACTTAGACCTAATCAGTTTAATTCCACAAACTACTGACTACTGTGTGCAAAGTATTGTGCTAGAACCTACAGACACCGACATGCAAAACTTAAATGTATGGAGGTCTCAAAGTTTTAAGACTAAACTACACTGTTTTTTCCCTAAAGTACAAGAATCCTTCCCTTAATGTACAAAGTGATTTTCCCTCTAATATCTCTTATGAAATCAATTTCCACCAAGCAAATACTATTTTCATTACTGTTTGAAAAGTCACATACATGTCCATTCTGTAAGGAGAAAATTAAGGGGCCTTAATTTAAGAAAATATACGTAAAAATTTAGAAAATCTATCAAAATATCATATTAAAAACAACTCAAAGATCTAATATGAACAATATTAACATCAATACTAAATAACATCATATTGTACTCAAAATCTTAAAAGCAAAACTGCAG